AAAATACGTCACAGAAGTTCAACGTGAAAACAGCAAGAAGTTCAACTACTACGCTGAATGAATTTTAGATGAAAAACTTTTAAAATCGTCGCGAGTATGAAAAGATGATCAACACGGGAAACTTGCGTGTTTACAGCAGCTTTCCATCGGTATATCACCTGCTCAATTCCGGTGGATGGATGGAGAGCTACTTGAAGTGGATGGAGATCTACGAAAAAAAACATGAAAAACAGAGTGAAGTTCAAGCACACACGCTGAGAAGTTCAAGTTCTTCACGTGGTGCATATTTGAAGAATCTGTTTCGCGATAAAGGCAGAATGCATGATCTCGCGTTTTTGAAATTACTTCAAAACGGCCAGGATTCAGAGAAAACCATCAACACGAAAAAGTTTCGAATTTTCCATAGCTTTTCAGCGGTATATTACTTGCCCCATTCCGATAAACTTTGTAGAAATTACAGCAAAAATACGTTTTTAGCCATTTTCGAAACTGACATAAAACTGTAATGAATTAGGAGAAACAATATATACAAAAAGTTTCGCATTTCTTCAAGATTTCCAGCGCCATATCATTTGCTGCATTTGGACGCACGGTTAAAAAATTAGCTAAAAAATACGAACTTGGTGGAACTTGTACCGTTTTCTAAATTACTTTTAAACTGTTCAAAATTAGAAAAAACTTTCAACATGAAAAAGTAGTGCATTTTCACAAGCTTTCCAACGCCATATCATTTGCCTCAATTGGATTAGCCGTTTAGAAATTACATTGAAAATACGAACTCGACTGTTCGGTTTGCGAAATTTTATGATTTTCCAAATTACTCTTTATCCATAGTGAATTAGAGAATACTTTCAACATGTGGAAGGAGCGGTTTTGCAGCAGCTTTCCAACGCCAAATTATTTGCCTCATTCCAATAAACGGTTTAGAAATGCGATCAAAAATATGATTCACGTTTTTGTACGAAGAAAAAACGGTTTTCAAAACTGCTCTTAAACCGCTCACATTTTGCCAAAAATTTAACTTGGGTCATGATACTGGTGTCCATAGCTTTCCAACGGTATATCGCAAGCCCCATTTGGACACCTTTTAGCTGGAGTTCAACCTAGTACTCGGGGAAGGTCAGGCGCGTTACTCGGGAAGTTCATGTTGTGATCAGAATATTATTCTGATCCCGTGATCAGAATAGTGTTTATATATATATATATATATATATATATATATATATATATATATATATATATATGTATATATATATAATGTGTGTGTGTGGAGGGGGAGAGGAGGCAGGCCTAGGGCGCCCCCAATGGCCGGCAGCTGCCCTAGAGGCCTGCCTAGCCGCACCCCACCCCCTCTTCCATAAATGGACATGGGGGAAGGAAAGGGGGGTTGGCTACCTTAGGGTACCTTCCCCTTCCTTCCCTCCCTTCCTTGGCATGTGTGAATGGGTGGAGGGGCGTGCCAACCCCTTTGTGGGATGGTGTGCTCCCCCCCCTTTGGCCCATAAGGCCCACCACTTACCGGTGGCCTCCCGGTACCCCTTCCAGCACTTCGATGAATACCCGATTCATTCTGAAACCTTTCTGGTGACCAAATAGCATCGTCCTATATATCAATCTTTACCTCCAGATCATTTCTGATCTCCTCGTCATGTCCACGATGTCATCCAGGACTCCGAACAACATTCAGTCACCAACTCACATAACTCATATAGTACTATATCACCAACGAATGTTAAGCATGCGGACCCTATGGGTTCGAGAATGATGTAGACATGACCGAGAGCCTCTTCAGTCAATAACCAATAGAGGGACCTGGATGCCCATATTGGTTCCTACATATTCTACGAAGGTCTTTATCGGTCGAAGCTTTATGACAACATACGTAATTCCCTTTGTATATCGGTATGTTACTTACCCGAGATTCGATCATCGGTATCTTCATACGTAGTTCAATCTTGTTACTGGCAAGTCTCTTTACTCGTTTCGTAACACATCATCTCGTAACTAACTCCTTAGTCACTTTGCTTGCAAGCTTCTTGTGATGTTGTATTACCGAGAGGGCCCAGAGATACCTCTCCGATATATGGACTGATAAATCCCAATCTTAATTCATGCCAACTCAACAAACACCTTCGGAGATACCTGTAAAGCATCTTTATGTTCACCCAGTTACATTGTGACGTTTAATATCACACAATGTATTCCTCCGGTATCCGGGAGTTACATGATCTCATGGTCGAAGGAACATGTATTTGACATTAAGAAAGCAGTACCAATAAATTGAATGATCATAAGCTATGCTAACGGTTGGGTCTTGTCCATCACATCATTCTCCTAATGATGTGATCCTGTTATCAAATGACAACTCATGTCTATGGTTAGGAAACCTTAACCATCTTTGATCAACAAGCTAGTCTAGTAGAGTCTCACTAGGGACACGGTATTTGTTTATGTATTCACACATGTATTTAAGTTTTTGGTCAATACAATTGTAGCATGAATAATAAACCTTTATCATGAATAAGAAAATATAATAATAACAACTTTATTATTGCCTCTAGGGCATATTTCCATCACAATTCTCTTAAGAATTTTTGCTAACAGAGGTTGAATGTCCTCTCTCTTTAACTTGTCATGGTGCAGGGAGATCCCTAGATATTTGATGGGAAACTTCACCCACTACAATCTAAGATAGAGAGGTATTCATTAAACTCTGGCTCGTCAATATTTATGGGAACGAGTTCACTTTTAGAATAGTTAATTCTCATGCGAGAAACCTGTTCAAAGCAAGTTAAGACAATTTTGAGGTTCTTGGCATGGATAGGATTTTTGTCAAGGAACCGAATGGTATCATCTGCATACTGGAGACAGATGATACCCCCAGGGTAGACTCCTGGGTAGAGCCCTACAACAAGCCTTGGGTAGCAGCCTTAGACAACATTTTAGTAAGAACATCTACTACTAAGTTGAAAAGGAGAGGAGAGATGGGGTCCCCCTACCTCAGCCCTTTTCTAGTGAGGAAGAAATCACTCTCTACATTATTCAATTTGACCCCAACTGAACCCCCATGAGTAAGCTGGTAGATCTAGTGAGTCCATTTACCACCAAAACCTCTAAGTTTTAGGAGTTCGATCAGGAAACTCAGGTCAACCTTGTCAAAAAGCTTTCTCATAATCTAATTCGAGGACTAGGCCTTCATCTTTACTAGAGTGGACTGAGTGTAGCACCTCATGAGCAGTAACCACACTTTCTAAAATATACCTCCCTTTAAGGAAGGCAGATTGATTACTAGCAATCAGCCTTTGCAAAACTATAGAGAGTCTATTTGTGAGAACTTTGGAGAAAATTTTAAAACTATAGTTAATAAGACTGATTGGCCTAAGCTTCTTCATAAAAGTAGCTTCGACCTCTTTAGGAATGAGAGAGAGCATGGCAATGTTAAGCCTATGTATATCTAGTTCTCCTCTGTAGAGGACCTGAAACAGGGCCACCAGGTCTGTTTTAATGAGACCCCAAAAGTGTTGATAGAACATGAAAGGAATCCCATCAAGGCCAGGGGCCCATCTGGGTAAGATCCAAACATAGCTAATTTAATCTCCTCTTCAGAGAAAGGGGCTTCTAGCATATCATTCTCATCCGTGGAGACTTTTTCTACATCAGAGAAAAAAAATCAGGGCTTAAGCTAAACCCAGAGCTCTCTTCCTTCTTAAAGATGTTTTTGTAGAAATCACTAGCAATCCCAATCATGTCTTTAATTTCAGTGGCAGGACCATCTAAGGAGTGGATAAGGGTCTTCCTTCTTTGGTTCGCTACTGCATGGAAATAAGCATTGTTCTTGTCTCCCTCTTTGATGTCCCTATTCCTATATCTCTGCTTAGGTTTGGTCTCCTCTTTGAGCCAAATTTTCTTCAGCTCACCATGAATGAAATTCATTCTGGCTAGCTCAGATTCAGAGAGATTAGAGGTTTATGATTTAATGTCTAAGGTATCAAATTCCTGAAGGAGAATCCTTATGTATCTCCTAAGGCAAGCTTCCTCATTAGTGGTCCACCCTTTAATGGCCTTCCTAAATCTTCCAACCTTTATCTGCCAATTCTCCAAAGGAGAGATAGCACCAGTTGGCTCTAACCAGATTTTCCTGACTAGGTTAGAGAAGTCCTCCCTCAAAAGCCTTGTGCCTAAGGATGGCAATGGGTAGGGTATGAGGCAGGTAGAGCATTACCATACACATACCAGTGTAGTAAATGGGTACAAAATTATACCCATACTCATATCCACGGGTATGAAACTTTATCGGTACCCATACCCGGTGGGTACCCATACCCAATGGGTAGATCAAATAGTACACAATTAATTCATAATTTTACATTCATCTATAGCACATTTGACTAAAAACCATTGATATCAACTCAATAATAGATAAATGAGCACATGACAATTATCTCAAATCCAATTAAGAATTGGTAAAAACTTTAGGGATAATTGATATTATGCCCCTAGTTGGGTCACACTCGACAGGTTTACCCCTACTTTTCAAAAATACTCGCTCCTGCCCAAATCACTTTGCTTCTCTTGTGTTTTTGCCCTTCTGTCTCAATTCCGTCTGGTCAAAGGCGTTTGACTGTTAGAAAGAAATTTTTCTGGACCATTTTGCCCCTCCTTACAACTCCAGTTAAAAATCAAAGAAAAAACAATGTTACACTTGCATGTGGGACTCAATTAAATGCAAAAGAAAAAAAGCCTTCCCTCTCTCTTCCATGTGGGACCCATGCCCCATCCACCTTCCTATCTTCTTCCTCCCCCGGCTCCGGCGTGGCTTCCCCGCTCACCCCGCTGCCGGTCACCCGCGCCAGTGCCTCCCTGACCTCGAGCCCAGGGACGAGCAGCTGCTACCCACTTGCCCGCCGTCGGTCGCCAGTGCCTCCCCAACCTCCATCCCGGCCAGATCCGGTCCAGCCCGAGCCTCCCGCGACCGGATCTGCTGTCTCCGCCACGCCCCCATGCCCCGCACCGATCCTGGCCTCCCCTGCATCGCGCCGCTGCCCCTTGCCCAAGGATCCCCGCCGCCCGTCCCTGGACCTGCCTTGTCTCGATGGCTCCGGCCATCCGCATTGAATCTCTGGCACTCCAGCGGTCCAGCCAAACCTCACCGCCACCTACCTCCAGCGACGCGTCGGATTGAGACCTCCTGCACGCCTTGCGGTGGCGCTGCCTCTGCCACACCCATCGCGAACGAACACCATGGCCTCGAGGTCCAGCGTCTCATCGAAGGCACCCGCTGGCGAGAGGTCGGCTCCCCTGCATCATGCCGCCGCCCCTTGCCCAAGGATCAGTGCGCCAGTCGGCAGAGCTGGGCAGTGTTTGGGGTGGGAGAGGGAGGTGTTAGTGGGGGCGCCAACGGCAGGTCATGCGACGACGGCGGCGCGGGTGCAGCGACAGTAGGATGGGGAAAGTGAGGTGTTTCGGGAGGAAGAGAGAGAGTGTATGTTTTTCTCTTTTTTTTCTTTTGCATTTAGTTGGGTCCTACTTGTAAGAGTCACATTGTTTTTTTCTTTGATTCTTAACTGAAGTTGGAAGGAGAGGCAAAATGGTCTAGAAAAGTGTCGCTCTGACGGTCAAATGCCTTTGACTGGACGGAATTGAGACGAAAGGGCAAAAACACAAGAGAAGCAAAGTGGTTTGGACAGGAACGAGTATTTTCAAAAAGTAGGGGTAAACCTGTCGAGTGTGACCCAACTAAGAGCATAATATCAGTTATCCCAAAACTTTAACATATGTTCACAAACTCACGACATAAAATTAACATAGGTACAAATGTGAATCACGGATAAGGTTCACATGTTAGTATAAACGGATAGGGTATGTGTATATCCATGGGTAAAAGACTATATTCGTGACATATCCATAACTTAACGAAGGGTATGAATACTACCCATGGATATAAAATTGTGTTCATACTCTATCCATGTGAATACGGTATCCGCAGGTACCCATACCTATGTGTAGAATTGCCATTCTTACTTGTGCGTCGCCATCTTGTGGCAATGTCGCCATCGTTAGAAACAAACTCGCTGGAAATCAGGATTTGACAAATGGATGGGGAGAAGAAACCTGGTTCCTTTGCGATCCGTGCTGGCACGTGCCTTCCGATGGAGTGGGTCTACTCACCGGAGGCATACAACCGGATCGTATAGGATTTTTTTCCAGGGACCGGTGTCAAAATGATTTTCTACCGGGATGATTTTTTTCTTTCAGACTGGGAGTTCATGGGTTTGGGTAACGGGCGTTCTTCCCTCCGCCAGTATTGGCCAGGTTCATCATTCATGAAGGACTGGTCACCATTAACGTGTGGTACGACCGTAATGGAAAGGGTTGATCGAACGCGAGTTGCGCCATTTCTCTTTGTTTTTCTTTTCTGAATCTGAAAAGGAAAAAAGAATGACCGATTTGTCTTCGTTCTTGTGTGGAGTTCCAAAAATGATTAAAAAACTCCCCTAAAAATGATTAAGAAACACGCTGATCATGAATCGGACGAAGCCCTCTAGGCGTCGTGTCCACCATGCACCCCACTCGCCACCTTTTCCGGATCGAACAAAAAATGGTACACCTCCCACCCCATCCCATGCACGCACGCACGCACGTACGCACCCCACATAACTGAGTCCCTCCCTTCCGCACGCACACCTCCTCGCATTCTTCAGTTTCACCGCAGAAGAGTCGAGGTGCCATCTACATGCACGCGCAACGGGCGTACTAGCAGCTAGAACGGGCCAAACGACAACGACGATGATCCCTTCCGCCACGTTCCTCTACGCTGCGTGGATTGCGGCCGCCGTCGCCGTCTGCCTCGCGCTCTGCACCATCCACTCCCGCAAGTCCTCCTCGTCGCTCCGCCGCGGCTCTTCACGCCCCGGGCCGGCTCGCAGTTCCATCTGTTAGACTGTATTTACATGTGTATATTGTAACGTTGTATACCACCTCATTATATATATATATGTGATAGGTCACCTCTAGAGGGTTGTGCCGGTTCCCCCCAAAGCCTATTGTCTTACATGGTATCACGCTAGGTTACGTCCGCTTCCGTCTAAAAATCCTAAACCGTCGTCGCCGCCGCCGCCGCCGCCGCCACCGCCGCCGCCGCCGCGCCCGCCGCCGCCGTCGCCCGACTGCTATGACGTCCGCCGCTGCGTCCGGCTCCACCGCCACCGGTTTTCTGCCGGCCTCCCTCGTGGCACTTCTCTCGAGGCCGCTGGATGCCGCCTCCCTTCAGGCGCCGATCGGGACACGGAGCGTCGGCTCCCTCTTCGCGCTCCCGCCGGCTGCTACTTCGCCCGGGCAGGCGCTTGTGGCCCACACCACCGCCGCCCCGTCAACCGCGGCTGTCGCGCCCTCGGCCACTACGCCGCTGGTGGCGGAGGACGTCGCGCTGGCAGGCTTCGCGGCGTCAACCGCGGCCATCGCGCCCTCTGTCACCGCGCCGGCTGCCCCTCCGACTGTCTCCACGGTGTTCTCAACTCAGCCAGTCTCCTCGATGGGATCGCAGCCGCCGCCGCCGTTTCACTTCGGCCATCTCATCACCATCAAGTTGTCGTCGGACAATTACATCTTCTGGCGCGCGCAGGTTCTTCCGCTTCTTGGGAGTCACTACCTGCTTGGCTATGTCGACGGCTCTCTCCCTTGCCCTCCTGCGCTGGTTGACAGCGTGCATGGTCCGGTCTATAATCCGGCTCACCGTGTCTGGACAGGGCAGGATCAGGCGAACCTCTCCTCCATCCAGGGGTCGCTCTCTCCGGCCGTTGCTGGGCTTGTTGTCTTCGCCAAGACGTCCCACGAGGCATGGACTATTCTTGAGCGCTCGTTTGCGGCACAGTCGCAGGCTCGTGTATCTGGGCTCCATCGCCAACTTCGGGAGTGTCAGAAGCTTGACTCCACCGCCACTGAGTTCTACAACAAAGTCAAGAGTCTCGCCGACACGCTGGCCTCCATTGGACAGCCCCTCACCGACTCCGAGTTCAACTCGTTTATCGTCAATGGTCTTGATGAGGAGTATGACGCCCTAGTCGAGATCATCAATGAGAGGGGCAACTCCACGCCCATGCCAGCACACGAGGTCTTTTCACGCCTCCTGCTTACTGAGCAATGAGTCGAGACGCGCCGATCCAGGGGCAATGGCGCCCTCTCGGCAAACGCCGCCACCAAGGGTGGTCGCTCCTCTGCTTCATCCAGGGCTCCTTCGGGGCAGTCACCACCACCCGCCTCGGCCCCTCCTCCTACTGCGACGCTACCAGGGGCTGGCGGTCCACGTGTGTGCCAGATTTGTGGTCGCGATGGGCACTGGGCCTCGAAGTGTCACAAGCGCTTCCAGCGGGGTTTTCTTGGTCTTGGCAATGACGGGAAGGATACACGCAACTTTGCTCGTCAGGTCGCCATGGCTGATCGTCCGCCGCCGCAGAAGCCACAGGGACACACTCAGTCCTACTCCATTGATCCCCACTGGTACATGGACTCTGGGGCGACAGAGCACCTGACCAGTGAGATGGGGAAGCTTCACACTCGTGAACCCTACCATGGCTCCGACAAGATCCACACCGCCAATGGAGCAGGTATGCACATCTCTCATATTGGTCAAGCATCACTTCTCACTAGACATGCCAATAGGAGTCTTCAACTTCGCAATGTTCTTCGAGTTCCATCTGTGACACGTAATCTTCTTTCAGTTCCTAAACTCACTCGTGATAATAATGTGCTTTGTGAATTTCATCCTTTTGATCTTTTTATTAAGGATCGGGGCACGAGGGACATTCTTCTTAGTGGGCGGCTCTGCCAAGGTCTCTATCGTCTGGAGCATCCTGGCGTCGCTCGCGTCTTCAGTGGAGTTCGGGTATCTCCATCACAGTGGCATGCTCGTCTTGGTCACCCGGCCACACCTATTGTCCGGCATGTTTTGCGCTGTCATGAGCTTCCTAGTGTGTCTAGTAATAAAGATGTAGCAGTGTGTGATGCTTGTCAGCAGGGGAAGAGTCATCAACTTCCTTTTTCGGAGTCCAGTCGTGAGGTGAAACATCCTTTAGAACTTGTGTTTTCAGATGTATGGGGTCCTGCTCAGACTTCTGTTAGTGGTCATAATTATTATATCAGTTTTGTTGATGCTTACAGCCGCTTTACCTGGCTTTATCTTATCAAACGTAAATCTGATGTGTTTGACATTTTTGTTCAGTTCCAAAAACATGTTGAACGCCTTCTCAAGCACAAAATTGTTCATGTTCAGTCGGACTGGGGTGGCGAGTATCGCAACCTCAACTCCTTCTTTCAGTCGCTTGGGATCACTCACCGTTTAGCATGTCCACATACACATCAGCAGAATGGTTCAGTAGAACGTAAGCATCGTCACATTGTTGAAGCTGGTCTGACTCTTTTGGCCCATGCATCTGTTCCGTTTCGTTTTTGGAGTGATGCTTTCACCACTGCATGTTTTCTCATCAATCGTACTCCCACTCATGTTTTGAATATGAAGACTCCCATTGAAGTTCTCCTTAATGAACAACCGGACTACACCTTTCTCAAGGTGTTTGGGTGTGCTTGCTGGCCCCATCTCCGTCCATATAACAAGCGTAAGCTCGAGTTTCGTTCCAAGAAGTGTGTTTTTCTTGGTTATAGCTCTCTTCATAAAGGATACAAATGTCTTCATGTTCCCACTAATCGTGTCTACATCTCTCGGGATGTTGTGTTTGATGAGCATGTTTTTCCCTTTGCCAACCTCCCTGTGTCCACTACCGAGCCACCTGTCATGCATTCATCCTCTGTTGCTTCTGACCAATTTGATGATGTTGCATATTCTCCTCTATTGTTGCCTAACCATGGTGCAGGCACTGGTCGTGGGGCTCGTTTGGAGATTCTGGAAGCGCCATCTTCCTCTTCGTCGCCATCGCCTTCATCCTCGGCACCTTCTGTTGTGCATGATGAGCACATGGCGCCCCTGCATGGCCTCAGTTTCCGTGCTCATGCACGGCCGATCGACGTCCTGGCCCGGTCGCCTCTGGCTTCTGGGCTGCCTTCGCCATCGTCGCGCCCTGCAACCCCGCCGACTGGGCCGGCCTCCTCGGTCCCCGTCTCGCCCAGGGCGTCGGGGCAGTCATCACCAGGCCTGGCCTCGCCCGCCCCTGCCTCGCCCAGGGTGTCTGGGCCCTTCTCACCAGGGCCGGCCTCGCCTGCTCTCGCCTCGCCAAGGCCGTCTGGGCCGGTGTCACCGGAGCTGGCCTCGCCCACCCTCGGTTCGCCCATGGCCTCTGAGCCCCTGTCGTCGGGCCAGTCTTCGCCATGCAGCCCGGAGTCGTCTGTCCCGAGCTCGCCTGAGGTGATTCCTGCATCTCCGGCGACCGTCACGTCTCCGTCACCTTCGCCTCCGCCGGCTCCTGCTGCTGCTCTACGTCCACATACGCGCAGTCGGAGTGGCATT